ACTCCCAGTAAGGCTGTTCCACAGAAATACTGAAGCTGTGGATGTATTTAGAGAAGAAAAGTTATTTCCTGTGAACTGAATCTGAAATATATGAGATGTCTAATTTATCTAAAAGGGACTGTTTCATTAGAGGCATATTGGGGCTAACTCTGTTAAACGTTTCCTTGATCAGCCTTTTGGGAAATTTGTTGTCTCCAAGCTTGCTTATATTCAGCAAATTGCTGAAGTCTGTAGTTGCATTTGAGAAGTTGGGTAATTTACTGCTTTCATGACAGTCTAGTTGCTGAGCAAATGGTTTATAGTGATTTATGGGTAGGAGTAAAGGAACTGGCTTGAGCAGGAGGGCTATGAAGTGGTCAATTTTTTTTCAGAACCTCACATCTGAAACAATGATAGATGGGCAGTTTTGTTAAAACTCTGAATGGTAAAGTTATTTTGCACAGTACCATGTAAACTGTGTTAAAACCTGTAATACTGTATTGAGAATAATTCAGAAGTCATTCTGAGGACTGGGGAAGAAGACTGGGAATACATACGAGAGTTACATAGACAGTCTGTTACTACCAAAGCTTAAAATAACTTTGTGTTGGGTTGACCCTGGCCAGTAACTAAGCACCCATCTGCTCACTCACTTCCCTCTCCCCCTCCCCTCAGTGGGATGGGGGAGAGAACTGGAAGAACAAAAGTGAGAAAAACTCATGGATTGTAATAAATACAGTTTAATAAGTGAAGGAAAGAAAGAAAAAAAACAAGTGATGCAAAGTCAGTCACTCACTATCTCCCACCAGTAGACTGATGCCCAGACAGTCTGCAAACAATGGCTACACTGGAAAGACCAAACTCAAGGGTTTTATTCCTGAGCACAACATCATATGGCAGGGAATATTCCTTTGGTCATTTCTGGTCAATTGTCTCAGCTCTGTCCTCTCCAAACATTTTTCCCAGCCCCAGCCTATTTGCTGAGGGTGCAGAGTGAAAAACAGAGAAGGCCTTGATGCTGTGCAATCACTGTTCAGCAACAACTGAAACACTGGTGTGCGATCAATTCTGCTTTAGTCAGATATTGAACAGAGCATCATACTGGCTGCTGTGAAGCATCTCAGTCAGAGCTAGCACAATCTGCAGTATCTAACAGAGTAAAAAAACCTTTTTAGACAACTTTACCAGGTCATTATAATTTAGGATATTTAGAAGATGACATTTGAGTATAGAAAGACACAGGTCCAGACCGTACTCTTGGCAAAACAAGATACAGTTTTTGCTTCCTGAGAATACCGATTCCATTCCAGTCCATTGTGGATGAACAATACAGGTGCTGTATTTCTGTATAGTAATTGTGGACTTGGAAAATAGCATTAAATTTCTATTGTCTGGCATAACACATCTTAGTTGTTTTCTTCCTTATTTCTCAACTGAGTGAAGATGTTCAAATTTTCAATATACTACTGTCTTTTTTGAATTAATAACCTGAAAGTTAAGATGTTAGTGCCCTGTGGAAGAAAAGCATGTAATATATGTGTATATATCAGACATTATGGCACACATATTTTTGTAGAAAAGTACACTCAAATTATATAGAAAGAAAAGTGTTTTTAAAATGCGTGTATTAAAGCAGTGACATATCTGCATGTAGTATGCTTTACTAGTACAATTAAAGGATGTGAATATGTGATAAAATATGACACAAATTACACACTAGACATGGTATCTCTATAAGTTAATCTGAAATGACTGGTGTCTTTTTTCCAGTGGTTTTAAGCATGCATGCCCTATGTTGGTACTATGGCAAAAGCCCATCTAGGTGGAGGTTTACTGTGCAAGGGATGAGACTGGAAGTGTGTCTGTTGTGGTGTCAAACATTTAGTAGTGCTGAGGTGTTGTTGGAAAGGGCTGGAGACTTGATTAAGTCACAAACCAGCATAATCTTCTCATAGTGTGGGTGGAAGTAGCTTCTGGCTCTCCACACTTGATATTATGGTCAAACCGAGAATCATCTTCAGTTTGTCAGACTGCCTTTTCAGTATTTTTATTTGTTTCATGTGATGAATAGGAGGTCACACAGATTTGGGTTGTTTTGCCAATACTGATGATGTTTCAGATTAAAAAAGAAGTAAGAAATAAAACCCTTAGGCTTCACCTTTATGTGTCATCTCATTGTGGAAATTTGAGTAAAACAGTGTCTTATAAAGTCTGTTAAGGAAAACATGAAGTCAGTTAACTTAAATATATCTGTGAAATGCAGCACTGTAATATTCCACTGTGCATTACCATTGACATTTCGGTGTGTATGCATCAACCACCACAACTAAGTTGGAAAGTAGGACTTTGTGCTTAATGTGTATTTTTTATTTAGGTATTTTTTTCATTTATGTTAATCTATAATAAGTGGTTGACTGTGAACTCATCAACTTCATCTAATATGGGTTTAAATAATTTGAAATTTACAGTTTCAATAAGTTCAATATTTCAACTGTCAGACGTTTATACAGCAGCCTGCAACATAAATTCAGGTCTAGTGTGAATAAAAGTCAAAAGTCCGCAAGCCTTTTTCCAAATGATGCACATCTGAAAATTTTAGGTTACCCAAGTAGCCATAATAAGGGTAATTTGGGGTGAACACTTAGCTGCCTGGATCCGCTAAGTAGATTAGAGTAATTGTAAAAGGAAATGGGTTTGTGTCTTGATTCTCTGAATAACAAAAAGCTATCCCCAAGCATTCTCATAGCAGCTGTGTTTCTCATCTACATAGCATCGTGTAGTACGTGTACAAGTCTTGTCATTGACTAGCATTCCTGTTAACGGACTGCTTAGGTAGCCTGATCCAGTTCCCAGTGGAATTTCATTGGAAGTATTAGTATAGCAATACTTCCACTGTTTTGTGTTTTTTTACTAATTATTTATATAGATTTGTCCTAGATGTGAAAGGTGGATTTTTGGGTGCGGGGTTTTTTTTAACTCATCCATTGCCTGCCTTCATCATGTAGAGTTTGATTTTGAAGAAAACGAGTAATTTTTTTTTAATCACTTTTGCCTTGTAGGTTAATCTCCGAGCCACTGATGTGAAGCTTATGCGCCAGCTACTCATCATCAATGAAAGTATTGAATCAATCAAGTGGATGATTGAAGAGAAGGCCATTGCCAGCAGAGGTAGCAGTTTGAGTGGCAGCCTGTGCAGCTTGCTGGAAAGTCAGGAGACATCCCTCCACGGCAGCTGTAACAGTTTACAAGACTGTAGTGATGGACTGGATGGAATATCAGTGGGGAGTTATTTGGACACCTTAGTGGATGATGTACCTGGTCACCAAACCCCTTCAGATATGGACCAGTTCAGTGATTCTTCTATTATGGAGGACTCACAGCCCCTGCATAAGCATCCCAAAATTGATTCTGATGAGTACTACTGTTTTGGTTAATAAAAACAAGTTCCAGTGGGACACAAATGCACTTGTACTTAGGCTTTTTCTTTGCTGCTATTTTATTTCATGTGCAAAACCCCCAAACTTCTTTTGGAAGGAAAACATAATATGATACTTTGACTCCACTTCATAACTTTTCTGTTGCTTCTAATACATTTTCTCCTTGGTGGGTTGGACTTTCTTCCTCCTCACCTTTTCTTAATTTATTGTCGTGATTTTTCTTTTTTTGTTTTAATTTTTTACAATGCTGTATTTACAGGTCTTTAAAAGTGGTGAAAGAAAAGCTTTATCTTTAAAATGAGACATCAGGGAACAAGAGCAACTACTTTTTATTTGTGGGCAATAAAATAGCTTCTGATAAATATATGTTGTAATAAATTTTCTTGTCTGCCAGGTTTGGCCTTTCCAAAGACACTGTTTTTATGGAGCCTTAAATCTGAATCTTGAAAATACCTCTAGAAAATAATTTTCCTTTTGTAAGCAATGATATTTGATTCTGTTAAGCTGTCCTTATTTGGTATATAAAGTATCCTGTACTTTCCTGCGTGGGGTTTCTTTCTTCTTGAATGTTCTCATCCTTCTTGTCCAATTATGGGTTTAAATGCTGGGCTTCATTGATGTCTTGCGGTGATGCATTCCAATACTGTAAGCTCTGCATAAGATTACATTTCATTTTTGTGCTTCATACCTTTCATTTTCATTGAACCTGCTGTTTTATAGGCTCAGTCTATATCTGTAAAAAAATGAAAGAGGCATCCCACATTAAAAATATCCAGCTCTAATAGTTTGGATACTGAGCCAAAATTCCTCAGTGTGGTTGTTTTAAAAATGTAATTTAAAGTCGTGACAATTTTTACTTTGAAATGGAGGGATTTAGAGGGCACTGGTGAAACACTTCACAGGAGGCAACATGCTGGAAGGCATGTCCTGTTTTGCTTTTGTATGCACACCCTCATCCTTAACAAGTTTACTTTGTTTTTACCAAATATTATTACTAAGAGAAAGTGTTGCCCTGCTGTCTTTTTGTTTCCTGTTTTACAAATAAGAGCTTGCTTTAACCTTTTTGTGCCTACTGATACAGCTGGGGGCTACAGCTAGTTACTCACATTGGAAGCATCTGAGAAGAAAAACAGGAACAAACTGCAGTGTGGAAGGTCTCTGGCTTTGAGACCCCCTGGTCTGTGCTTTTGTGCAGAAGGTTAGGAGGGAGATTTTTCTTTTAATTGCTTCAGAATCATAAAGAAACAAGACTTCATCCTTCAACAGTAAAGAAAAAAATAAGAATAAAAGAAATAGAATTGAACCGAGTAATGAATGTGTATTTCTAGCTTACAGAGAGTGAAAGAGATGTTGATGCTTACACATCATCTAAAAGTGCCCTGTCTTGCCAAGTCTGTATTCTTACTGCCGGTAAAGCATGAAATTCCCTCACTTAAGAAACTAAGGTTTGCCAAGTATAATACAGGCTACCTATTTAAAATATATTTTACACATTCTGAAGTATAAGACTATTATATGCAGCGCTTGACATATGTTGGTTTGGTTCATTTTGGGATAAAGTAATAGTCCAGTAAGGTTCTGCTCTTCTGAGACAAGTTTACATGGATCTGTCTTGTCCAGCATTGCTCAACATTAAATGTGGAGAAAGGTAAAAACTCAAGAAAGTGAACGTGGCAGTTTGTGCTTTGTGGTTAGCTCCATAACTTCTCAATACAGTATATGTGTGTGTCCCTCAAAATCAAAAAACTAAGATATGTATATTTTGCTTTGAACATCACGATTTATTCAAATAGAATGAGAGTGAAGAAATTCTTCACTTACCAAGAATAAGGCTTTTCAGTCCAACTTCTGAGATTAACCAGGGTACTGCACACAGCTTGAAGAAAAAGTGGCAAGCCCTCAAACGACAATACTGTGCTTGCTTAACATTCTTAGGTTTTTAGTCCCTTCCCCATCTTATGCCTTCTGGATATAGTTTGAAGAAAAAACCTTAGGAAAAAACTATTTCTCAGTGTACCATTAAATGGAATATCAACTGTGAATACAAAATAGGTTTTATTAATTTACTTTTTTTTTTTTTTTTAATTTAAGGAACAGAACTAACTCCCTGCTCTGAACCTGTGACTCTCTTGACATTTTTTCTACCTTTATGGCTTGGCATGGAAGTTAAACATCAGGATGCATACTCCCTCTCAATGTAATGAATGTGCAATATATACAGCCTTTTCTTCAACTGAGATTTTGGGCAGTAGGCCAAGACACACATAAAACTTTTCTACTATGAAGGAAATTCAAAAATATTCTTAACATACCTTCTCAAATATCCCCCCGAGTTATACTGAAATTACTTCAAGGAAAATACAGGCTGTAGATGTCACCCACCCACTCACAGCTCTAATACTGGATAAAGAGTAATTGCATCAGTGATAGATTTATCACATTATGATGAAAAAGTTCATTTAAATGGGGATCGAAACTGGCAGGAAAAAAGCCTACTACTGGAAGTGGTGAAATAAAAGCTATTTGTGATTAGAAGCTTTTATTCCTGTTTGTCTCTTGACTGGAAGAAAAAATGACAAAATACAGATGCCAGGAGACTGTTAGAAGGAAACAAGAATGGCCAGGTGGTGTGTTTCTCATATCCAGGAACATGAACACCTTGGGGTTTTTTTTGAAGCATAAGAACTTCAAAGATTTAGGTTTAACTTAGATTGCTTAATTACATTAATAGGACTTCATAGCCAAAAGATGATGATCTACTCTGACTTCCCGCTTAAGACAGACCATGATATTTTATTATCCCCTAACAACTTCACTATTTAGACAATAGAAAATATTCAATACTCCTTAAAAAACATTCCCATTAAATAATTAATTTTGCTTTTAAGCCGTTTACATATTTCTTCCACCTTCCTCTTGACTTGGTCAACCTTGGTCTTGCAAAATTTTTGTCCAGTAAAAAGAGATCTGGATGCCCTCTTCTAGTATTTTGCAGAGCTAAATTCTTTTTTCCCTTGGGATTCCTTGTAATTTTTTTCTGATTTACAGAACTAAAAAACAATATTCAGTTGTATAGAGCACAGTATCTGAAAACACTTTACAAAGCTATGTCTCTTTCAAATGGATAAAAGCAATAGAATTAAAAAGTGGAAAATAGCAAATATAATTAATTTATACTCTGTCATTTTCTGTCATCTTACCTCTTCTGTCACTTAGCTTGCTTCCAGACATGACAAACAATTTCAAGACAATTTGTGAAATCACAATGAGCAATGCCCAGTCCATTCTTATTTCCATACTGCTGAAGTTCTGACTTTGAAAGACACTCCACTATGTAAGCTGTGTAATTCAGAGACAATAAGGGACAGTCAAAAAAGACAGTTTTGGTATGCTTTCTATTTTAAAATAACTTTTTCCTGCTAGTAATAGGAAGCAGCTAGTAAATGGATGTGCTCTGGTTCACAAATGAACTATTGAAGGAGACAAAAAAAAAAAACCTCAAACTTTCACATCTGAAAACTGTGGTGCCTTAAAGATTCTGCCAAGACAGTCTAGCTGTGAAGTTTTGTTGCACTTTCAAAAGAGCAATTAAAATTCTTTGAAATCTCTCTGCCAGCTGCCAGGTCTAGTATTGATCTCAAGGTTGCATGACTGTTTGTGTCTCCACAAATGCTCTCAGAGGATGAAGAACCAAGCAGGAACTCTTGGATCCATCAGTAGGCCAGAAACATTGTACTAAGACCCTGAAGATAGAACAGCGTCTCTGGCTTTGGAAGGCACACTACCATTATCCTGCTAATTGAAACAGGATAATAAAAAAGGCAGAAATCTGGTGTATCATATTAAAATGAGCCCTGACTTTTGAAGGGAATGGTAAAATGCTGGAAGTACTGTCAAAATGTTTGAAAGTTTGAAGTTTCAAAAATCTTTCTCTACATTTCACTTTGAAAAAGAGAAATGGTTGGTCAAGGTGGGTGAAGTGCAGTGTGAAATACTGTCTGGTTACACCATGTGGCTGCATCTCATATAACCATATATAATTCACTAAGAAACTGGGGGTGGGGGGTAGTAATCTTAAAGTTTAACTAAGCTGTCTAAAAAGCCTGTGCTAGTATTTTCCATGTTGCCAGCACTTCTGAACCAAGCCTAAAAGATGTGTCTTTGATATAAAAAATTAACATATACCCAACAAACATGAGATCAGTAGAAAGCATCCATCACTTTACAGCAAAGGAGGCTTTGTTTCATTTTAAATGTGCTGTTACAGCAAGTTTGTGTTTCTCAGAATAGCTATGAATTTACTATAGACACAGTATAAATGCATCCTGCCCTGAAGCAAATAGAAGCTTTTCCCTTGCATAAATTAAAAAGATATTAATGCTGCCTGCACTTGACCTTTCCATTGGTCAGAGATTAAGTTTCCCTAGTAAGTGTATCTAGAGTAAAAATAAAACAGTTTCTTTTTTTTCCCCCATGGAATATTCTATGCTGTGGCATACAACTACTAAGACAAACAATCTTCACAAAGTCTTTTCAAAAGCATACTCTTCCAGCAAACATGTCTGATCTTCAGGACTGACATTCCCTATAGTCTTGCTTGGTTTTGTTGGCTTAGTCCCGAAAGAAACGTTTGAAAAGATATGTCCTTTGAGTTCCTGTTAGGGCACCACATGATACAAATGATAAATAAATATTGCTAACACAATTTATATCTTTTTTTTTTTCCTCAAAATTGGCTGCAGAAACTATGTTGGTATTCCTAAGCAATTTTTTTTTTCTTACCCCATTTTTGTCTGACATCAATATGGAGAGAAAACATCAGATTGAGCCCAAATATCTGAAATCATGCTTTCACCTGTGGACCACAGAGCGCACTTATCCACAGTGCAAACTTGTCAGCATTGCTGGGTCCAAAATTTTATACCTAATGGCTGTAACATAATACATTAAAACCCTGTCATATGATCACTGTATTGATCATCTTCTGGAAACCTGAAACCACTGAAACCTTTTTATTTTAGGAAGGATACAGCTTTGATTTTGTGAAGAAAAATGTTATTGTTGGAATGGCGTAAATTTTGGTCTATGAATTACAAACTCAAAGGACAAAGTACACAATAAAATTGAAAATCTTTTGTGTTAGGTCTATCTTGTAGTAGACTGTGTTATTCTTCAGTGATGTTGGAGACAGT